CCTCCCCCGACCACCCCAACGACACAACCTACCTAACCTCCATAATCTCCGACCAACTCCGCCTCCTCACCAACTGCATGGCAGAACGCGATCGCGCCTCCAGCGAACGCGACCGCGCCTGCGAAGAGCGCGACGCCGCCACATCCCAATGCGCGAAATACTACCACGACATCCAGCTCCTGACATCCACCATCACCCGCCTTGAAGAGCAGGTCGCGCGCCAGGAGGCTGCGGCGAGGAATCATGCGAGTAAGACCCGTGAGTTGGAGAAGCAGGTGGGTGTGTTGAGCCAGCAGGTTGCGGGGAAGAGGGCGGTTTGGTTTGAACATAATCCGCGCTCGGGGGGTAGGGAGGGGGGGAGGGAGGGAATAATAATAACCCGTTTGCGACGCCGACGAAGATGGGGCCGTTGGTGGTGTTTGCGAATGGCGGTGGGAGTAATGCGAATGGGACCCCGACGAAGATGGGGAGGACGGTGGAGGAGGCACGAGCTGAGGTGTTGAAGGGTGGTCAGCCGATTACCGCGCAGCTACTGAGTCAATTCGACAGTCTCCCCCCCTCACCGCAGCTTCTCGGCCCCCTCACGCCCGGGGCAGGAGAACTGCCATGTGGACCTGCGAAACCGTGTACACTCCTCAACACGTACGCGTCGACCACCAGCCGCGTGATCGCCGCCTGCAACGGTGTAGCACAGAACGGAATCGACACCTTCCCCGCTACGAGCCTGATCCCCTTCGAGAGCAATGAGGAGCTGATCGCCGGGTTCGTAGCGACGTTCGATGATGTCTACCTCATGGTTTGCGGGTGGGTGACGACGTATGCGGATAGGGTGAATCCGATTGATGAGAAGGATATTGCGGGGCAGGAGAGGTGCTGGGCGTATATGCTGGGGTGTTTGAGCCCGTTGGGGGAGAAGGATGCGGCGTTTGTGATTGGCAGTTTTCAGAGGGATACGGCGACCAGGAGGTGGTTCGTGATGAGGATGGTGGTGCAGTATATTCAGATGCATGTGTGGAGTTATACTACGTGGCTGGGGTACAGTGATGCGAGTGATGCGGATTTGAATCGGATCTGCAAGAGGCTCGCTGAGAAGGGTAAGTCTAGTCCATCCACCCCCTTTCTCCTTCACTCTCCCACCCCCCCCAGTGCACAACTAACACACCCCCCCTAGGCGTAACCCTCGACCAACGCGGTGAACTCCTCGCCGAGCGCTCCCTCTGCGTCTCCGCCATCATGGGCACCCAAGACTACCGCGGCTTCCGCAAATACATGATCGCGCAACACACCAAAAAGCTCCGGGACATCCTCCCCCTCGTCCTCAACCCGGGCATCAACCGCTCCGACGCCGGCCGCGACCTCGCCGTCGTAGTAGCCAAAGCCTTTGATCTCTCCGCGCAGCTCTTCACATGCGGCTGGACATTCATCATCAGCATGCCTGAGGCCGGGGCGAAGTTCGCGAAGCCAAGTATGAGGGCGAGGAACTCGGATGTCGAGCCCCTGGAGCTGCAGATGAGGGGGACGAGGATTAGGTTCGCGGTTACGCCGTTTGTGACGCTGAGGGATGATAGTGGGTTGGCGATTGTGACGAGGAATATTGATCGCTCGAGTGTGCTTATTGAGCAGTAAGTAGGTGGGCATCCCTTTCGGCGTTGGTGCGGGGTTGTGTTTTGTGGTGGGTGGATGGATGGCTTACTGGATATTGCTAGGTCGCGGTATTCTCGTTGAGTGGGAGATGGGAGTCTTTCTCTCTTCCTTGCTTTGCCATGGGATGAGCTTGTCTACTCATGGGTCAGCAGCTCTTTCGTACCTGGAGCTTGTCAGGTACTTCGGTGTGATGTGTGCTTCCTGGATGCGTCTCCCGCTGATAGTCTCGTCAGTCCGTTAACCTTCATCCAACGCCCTCATCGATCCATCACATGTTCTTGGTTGGTTTACTGAGAATTGGATGGTCATCTCACTAAGCATTTGATCATCTTGTTTATGGCCGTCTTCTTCAGAATTAGATCTTCATCTCCTTGATCATTAGATACTCGTCATCTTGGGCACCGCGGGGCCATTAATTGAGCAAAAGGAGGTCGTTGCGCATATCAAACCAAACATTGCCAAAAACCATTGCACCAGCATATTGCTTCACAACCGGGTGCCTTAGCTAGCTGAATATAAAAGGATTTAATCCATACTTCGGATATGATTGTGAGGCAGGTAAAATGTGAAGTATGAAATAAGTATAGTGGGAGACGGCGAGGGAGCAACTACTCCTTCCCCTGGTTTGTGTGTGATCCGCCTATTTTAAGCGTGGATTATGTAAACGCTCCCATCAAGATGGGAGGATGGAATAGGGGGTTGTTGTAATTATTCAGCAGACTGCGGTACTGGCACTGTATATTCTATTTGGAACTATGTGTTTCTACAGGATGTAGGGGGCCGGGTGGGGTGTTTACTCAGCGACCGGCACAATATCTTAAAATACAGAATGAGTGAGTGAATATCACTTAAAACCATAGACAATAGTATTGATATAATCTCACCACCATTTCCCATCTCTTCCACCAACACCTTACATTTCCAAACGCCACTCAATAAAACCAGACAAACCATACACACCCAACCCCTCAATCCTCCCATCCCACCACAATCAACCCCCCTCACCTACCTCTTCTTCGAATGAACCGCTGCATGATAATGCCCCTCCACCATCGCCGTATGCCCCTTCCCCGTAACCGCTCCCGTCGGAGGATGAAGCGCCAAAATATACTTCGAGGGGTCATTTTTACTACTAATCGTACGAAGCTGCCCGGGGGGCCCCTTCTTGTAAAGTTCCCAGCTATCCTGAACGACGGGGTAATGCAAGTAAGGGCCAGGAATACCGCTATTCCTCATTATGTTTTCGTGGTCCCAGTATGTGCCAGAGTAGGGGACGTTAGGGCCAGGTTGGGGCCGGTTGTTGGCTTGGTAGCGGACTTGTTCTGCAGGCATGGATTTTTTTCCGTTGACTGTGTGGCCTGCGAATGTGTTCTAGGAGGGTCTGAGTTAGCGGTCTGAAGCAGGTGTGTTAGGGGGGTGGGGGGCATACGTGTGAGGCGACTGATACTGCTGCCGACGGCGGTGCTGCGATGGATGCCGTGTCGCTGAATGTCTGGGCCACGCACTTGTTAGAACCTGTAGAAAAAGAGGGCATGTGCGAACGTCGTATATAGCGGGGATATACATACCTCAGGGAATATCAGGCTTTGATTCGAAGGGCCGGATACAATGACTTCGCCAGCGGATACGTTTGTGGGCGTGCCACTACGTGATCCATACGCAGAACTACTCCTTCCCAGCACGTTACTCTGGGGCAGAGCATCCCTCATGGCTTGAATAGAGAAGTTAGACTCAATCATTTCGTCGAGAGTCTGTTTAATCCCAGGTACTTCCGGCCCGGTTCCAGTGCTCGGCGGTGGAACATATGTGATGCCCTGGAAAAGAAGTTCGGGTGAACCCGAGTCATTGAAGGGCGAGTAATAATTGGCATTGCCTCGCGATCGAGACGCCGAACGACTGGTTGTTCGGCTCTTATCTTTCTTTGATTTGGTAGCGGATGTGCCGCCTACTCCGAGCACGTTGCTCTGGGGTAGAGCAGACTTCGGGTCTTGATAGTCTTGAAAATTTAGATAGGACCAATTAAAATTATTTGAATCGTCGACGTTTCCATTGCTTGACGACTGGACAGACGTGATGCCCTGAAAAAGGGGGTTGGATGGATTCGAGTCGTTGAACGGCGAGTTACTAGCAGTGCCACGCGATCGAGACGCAGAGCGACCAATCCCTCCTTTCCTATTTCCCTTGAATTTCGTAGCTGACGCACCGCCTGCCAGCCAGGTGACCTGGGGTTGAGCATCAGCCGTGGTGTCCAGGAGAGTCGGCTGCCATGGCGCTGATGGAGCGAAAGACATCGTTCCTTGAAGAGGCTGCTCTGTCTGCGTCAAAGCACTAAATGGCAGACGCTGCTGCTCCGCCTTCTTCTCCGCAAACGACTGTACCGACCTCCTCCCCTTCAACCCTTTCGCAGCTCTACTCTTCCCTCCCCGAGATTTCGTAGCAGATGTACGGCCTCCATCTGACTCATCGTCGGATGGATGAAGATCAGCCCAGAGCTGTCGAAACAAGGAAGGTTGGCTAGCACGGGATGCTAGACTTTTGCTGTTTCCCTTACTGCTGTACCGGGTGCTGGAAGCGGAGGCGGTGCTGGCTCCAAACACATTGGCTTGGGGGGTGATTTCGTTGGGGGCGAAGGGGTCTAGTAGCAAGTCTCCATTGCAGAAGGTTGGACCGAAGTCATCGCCAAAGGGCATGATTTCGTTTGGGGGGATGGAGCTCGGGTAGGCGCTCATTTGCGTCCCGGTATTGTTGTAGGGTGTTCCGAACGTGGGAACACCTGCTCCCAACCCACTGCCATGAGCCATGATCCCATTTAGATTAACGCTGCCCATTCCCGTTCCAAACGTAGAATCACCTGCTCCTAACCCACTGCCATGGGCCAT